AACTAATAAAAAAGCTAAACAATTTCGGAGCTATTCGATGAAAATAATGAAGAACGTGAGGCATTTGCCAGTTCTGGTTTAGTTGGCATATAAAGAAGTCCTTCCCGGCGTGCAGGGCACATAAAAACAAATTTTATGACAAAAGTTTCTCGTCCTCGTTGTTCTTACACACAGTGTGTGTATGTCTGTGCGGGTGGCAGCGGCGACGGCGAATGAAAAACCAAACAAAAGTGTAAATAAATACAAAATAAATTTGATGAAAATTGTGCACAAAAGTTCATTTAATATGGATTAAAAGTTTTCTTGTTGTCTGGCGACTCGTGAACTCGTATCCGTCTCCTTACGGCTTAATTCGATCCGATTTGATGGGCGTGGGACTTGAAAACGCTCCCCGGATTGCTTTATGATGATTGGCATTGGCATGCGAGACTACTGTCGCCAGTAATTGGATTTTGAAGCAGTCAAATTTTGGATTTTTTGGATGTTGTCTCCGTAATTTAATTATTTGGAAACTTTGAAACACTTATGTCCGACTGCACTGCCAGTAAAAACAGAGCTAAGGTCAAGGAAATTGTTTAAAATATTAGTTCTTACTTCAAATTAATATAATCAACCTTTGAAAAACATTAGTAATACATTACTTCTCGTCATTTTGGATTTACCACATTTTAAACCCTTTTAAATTTAAGTATATTATTGGATTCTTTTTATATATGGTTTGAGATACACTAAAAACCCTTGAAACTAATTCTAGAAAATTTAATAGTCTTCAAGGATCTATAAAATACATATTTTGTACCCATTAAAGTATTCCCAATTTTTCCTTGAGTGCATCTCCTGCTGCATAATTCATTATGGCCGGGTCGACAGCAACAACTATGTGAAAATTTCGATAACTCACAAGTTTGGAAATTTGTGCGCAAATTAAATTAAGCTGTCACTGCCCACGCCACACTTGAGGCTTCCCAACTTCCTTCTGCCGGCCCCCTCTTCTGGGGACACAACACTCCGGCCACAGAAACTTTCTTTGCAAAGTGTCAAGTTTTAGTTGTCGTAGACGTTGCCGAAATTATTTTTTGAAGTTTATTACACGAAGGCGTGCGCGTGTCCAAGTATCCTCCCCGCACAGAGCACATACCAGATATACATATATATTTATATATATGTACATAATGACCGATTCTACTCCGAATCCCATTCTGTTTCGTGTGTGCTCACAGATCATTGACCACCGCCAGTCGCGCTGCCAAGTTCTGGACGTTAGTCAAACTTTTCTGCACTCATTTGGAGCACTTGTCCGGGGACGACAAAAGTTGCTTAGTGCAAATTCAATAAGGCGAGGACGCTTTGCATAAACGAGGCAGGTCCGGCAAAAGTTTCCAGCGACAGCGACAGCACCAGCTCCAGGTTCCTGGGGAATCTAAAATGTTAAATGTTAATTTAATGAACCCTTTTTTTCCGAGGCCTGAAATCTAGTTAGACGCTGTTCAGGGCGCTCCAAGAAATTGTCACAAGTTTGTTGGGAGTAACATGATTACGTTATCTTTAGGCCAAGTATTTTATATTTTTATCAAAAATACTCTTTACGAGATACTTATGTACCTGCTAAGAATGGAAAATGTTTGAGGAATGTGTCCGATTCTGAGATTCTTGAGAGATTGACGTCTCTCTTCTTCATTTTCTCAGCTGCTGCACTTCCGCAGGACCCTTGGCTGGCCACTCCTCTCCGTTTCCGTTTCCTTTCACCTCCCTACGGAAGGCCCTGTGAGCGACACTCAAGGAATTGCCAACTGACAACTGGCTTTCAGTCCGTGCGAAGGCATCACATCTCATTGCACTGTTTATTCATGAGGCAGCAACACTTTTCTTAATAAGTCTTCATGTCCCCTGTCCATTGTAAATTGTCCAGTGGCCAATGGCCAGTGTCCAGTCGCAACTGTCGTGGAGCAAACAATGGCACATGAAACCGTCCATCTGGCATTGAGGTCCCGCATTTTCCCCATTTGCAGTTATGCGAAAAGTGCCACATCTGCCGCTGGAGGAGACAGATGTGGGAGTTGGGCTTCGCATTTATTTATTTGCATTGTGCACTTTACTCAAATGAAGAATATTTGTGATAAAAACAGGGCCAACAGGCCAAGCTCTCTCGCTCTCCCTCTCCCTCTCCCTCTCTGTATCTCTGTTTCTCTGTCAATTTAAATGAGTTCGAGGCGTGTCAAATCTCCCCAGAGCCCCCAGGATAAAATTCAAAAGACTGGACCACATCGCTTATCGTCGGTGCATTGTCATTATTTATTGTGCACTCGTCCTGCCTCATTTGCGTTTTGCTTTAAGTGATTGCAAATTTGCTCGGCGGCAGCTTTAATGCGGTTCGATTCTGATTCGGATTCCGATTCCGATGGCGGGTTCGAGTCCGAGTCCGAGTCCGAGTCCTTGCTCTATTAATCAGTGCATTCATGCACAATTAACGCACATTTTCGTTAATCACGCCTCGGCAGCTCGTCGCTCTGGCCATGGAAATTAAACGGTTTTCAAGAGGACAAACATTGGATGAAATGTCGAACAGACGTGGAATATAGTACCTCTTTTGCAGAGAAATATCTGGTAGCTAACTCAAAAGAATAACCTCTTAATTAACAGCATCAGTACTAAATGAAACCCTTTGAGTAAATCATTTTCAATTTAACATTTCTATTGCAACTGACTGGCATTTATCCCTGGATAAAATGCATGCTCTGCTTTGCAAGGATATTGAGGCGAATGTCAAGTGCCAGCTCCCTGGGGCGCTAACTATAAATTTGAGCGGGAATCAATGGAATCAATTTACGCTGCTTGCCGGGTTTGAAAGGACTGCAGGAGCTAGGGACTCATGCGGGAACTTGGCTTCCCGGCTGACGGTGAAGCGGTGACGCGATGACACGAGGACGGCGTTAGTTGGCCATTTGAAATGCACACTTGACATCCTGCGACACGCAGGTCAGGAGGATTGCCCGGGATCCCCCGAGATATCGTGAGAAAAGCAAACAGAGACGGGCTACCACCACCACCGGCAGTATAACAATCAGTATGACCACCAACCAGAGCGGCGATTGCGGCGGGTATGGAAACATCATAAATAAATCAATTTGTAATTCGATGCGCGCAGCTAATTGATTTTAATTGTGCTCTGCGGTCTGTCAAACTCAATTTCGTGCTCTGCTCGGTGCCCGTTCCGTGTTTTTTTTGCAGGACACGTACTCTCCGCCGTCTAATTGCACGTAAATAAGCAGCGGTCCAATATCCGAGCTGCGAACAGCGTACACTGAACACCAAACATCGAACGCAGGACGCTGGACGCAGGACAGAGAACACAGGACATGTGCATGCCTTTTCCATGTCGCTGCCATCTGCAATGCAAATTAGTTGACTTCAATTACCAGACACTGCATCATTTCGCTGCATTTTCGCTACTGTTCCTGTTCCATTTCGGCAACAAAAATACTGGGCCGTGTCCGTGTCCTGCCAAAGAAATAAAGTACCTAATTGGCCCCGTCCAAAGCCACCATTTGAAATCAGTGCGGATGTGGATGTGGATGTAGATGTTGGGGTTCTTGTTTCCAGCAACATGCGTGGGAAATGCTAAGCGAATAATTGAAGGATCTTGTTGAGGTGAGTAATCCTGTGTTCTAATTGACAGATCCGCGGTTTACAATTAATGGTAACGACTTTGGTGCTCAATTGCAGTATAAAAAAGTCTTAAAAATTAATGGGGGAACATTCTCTTCATAAATTTATTTCATTATTAAATTATCAATTGAAACTGCTTTTCTTTTTGGGAAATTTCAAGCCATCAAGCAGCCCTTAACTTCCCTAAAAGCTTTGCCAAACAATATTCTACCTGAATATTTATATATTGTTTGTGAAAAATCACAAAGATTTAGAGAGAAAAAACTACACAAATTTGTTTGCTTTGTGGATGATTCCCGTCGAAGTCAGAGATTCTCCGCATTTGCAACCAACACAAAACCGCATAGCTCAAGTTTTGTATTTTGATTCACTCAGTTGCTATGAAATCAAAAGCGGTTGCCCATTATTTTGGAGCTTGTTTGTTATCAATTTAATTTAAATACACAAAACAGAACTTTCCAGACGCTGGGCAAACGATTGCGGAATGCGAATGTATTTTTTCGGTATTCCATTTATTTGAATTTATTTGCGGAAATATTTTCTATGCAAAATCACGCACAATTTAAATGTTTGACCCGCCATGCAGCTCCACCAACAATGTACGATGTACGTTTTCAATTTGAAGAAAAGGTAAAAACTACTATAGAGAATCCTTATGGACATGCGAATAGATACAATTATTTGCAATAGCAGGCAGAGGGAGGTGAATGCCCCTTGGAAATGCGAAAGAAACGACTTCTCTCGGCCGCAATTGAAAAGAAATAACAAAGCGCGCTTCAATAATTTCGGAAAAGCGCCCAAAGGGGGTTGGGAAAGTAGGAAGGGAAGCACAAAATATAATACAAAATGCGCATGCAGAACGGAAACGGCAAAAAACGAAGGAAGAGCGAAGAAAAAGCGGAAGGGGTGCATGCATTGCATTGTACTAGATTCCTTCTATTATATTTCTTTCAGATCTTCCGCTGCGTAACGGCAAGTTTTTTCACACTTTGGCAGGCAAACTAAATGCAGACAATAACCAGAAAGGGGGGTTTTTCCAAAAGAAAAAAGAAAAAAAAACGACTAGCTCTCCTTTGTTGCGAAAATGTTGAGTAAAATTTCTTAACGCCAAAAATCAACAGTGAAAATTTGTTGAATTGGAAAATTCAATGGGTCAGTGGCCAGGCTAAATATAAAAAGAAAGCTCAAAGGAAAAATTAGGAAAATGTTAGAAATATTTATAGCATTTTTAAAAGCATTTTTAATGTTAAAAGTAACATATTTTACCTTTAGCCCTGCAAATAAACTTCGTCAAAATATAAATGCCGCGATTTAAAATTAACACACATTTTTTATTTAATTTCACCACCATTTACAATACGCCCATACAAGGCTTTGATTTATTTACTTTAAATTAAATTAATTTAATATTTTACTTTAAATATATTTTACACACATTTTCCGTCTCCTTCGAACACTTGATTTCTGGGTTTATTTTGGTTTTGGCTTCGCTCACGTTTTTGTTTTGTCTTCACTGCTTAACTTTCTGTTATTTTGCACATTTAAAGTAGAATCAGTAATTTGATGTACTTAGCATATTCTCGTGTTTCTTAACCTTTTTGGATTCTTGTTTTGTGTAAACATTTATATTTGAATTGTGTATGTCCTGTTTTATAGGTCTTAAACTCTTTCGCTGCTCTGCTGCTCAACTTCATGTTTTACTTATGTTTTCTTCGTTACAACTATGCTAGTTTATAAATGTTTTTTTTTTTTTTTTTTTGCTTAACTTTAATTTGTTTTAATTTTTGGTTTTGTTTTATTTTTCTTTCCTTTTTAGCTCGCTAGTATACACCACATCTCAGAGTGTGGTTTTTTGGGAAACAAAGGGAAATTAACATGAAAAGCAGTCATCAAAAGAAGATCCTTGAACTAGACAGAACTAAGGGGTTTCCCAGCACTGTTCAAGTGATGCAGTATCAAGGTATAGATGCCAGACTATAGTATCTGAATTATATACCATTCAAATTTTCCATTTGGCATTCATCACTTGAAAACACATCAGTTCCTCGGGACTGGCAACCTCCCCGGATACATTTCAAATTACTTAGGGCTTTAACTAACTGGTAACTGGTAACACATCGCCTAGGCCAGGGTCTCTGTCCTCGATTCTGGCCAGGCCAGTGGCTGTCTTGACGCCTTGAAGGCGCTGCAGCTGGACAGAGGAGGAGATGGCTGCTCCCTGGAATGTGTCCGCGAGGCTCCTTGGCTGGGCTCCTTGCCGCCTTCGCTGTCCGTCTCGGTATCGGTCTCGGTCTCGGATGCCACCGCAATTAGCTGGAATAAGCCCGCCAGCAGGGCCAGCATTAGGGGCGCCACATAGACGCCGGACCAGAGTCGCGTAGCCGGCGATGCCGATGAGGTCGAGAAATACGAGCTGAAAAAGTTCTTCAGGCTCGATTCGGAGGAGAGGGTAACTGCACGCGGAGTGGCGAAAAGAAAGAACCGGAAACGGAAGTCAGTTGGATGTGGATCGGAGGCAACTGCCATTGCTCACTCACCACGTGCCGGTATCGGATCCTTTTGCGGTGTGCCCAGCTCGATTTCCTTGTACTCCTGGTACAGATCCCCGATTTGTGCCGAGCAGCGCAGAAGTAATCCGCCCGGATTCGGATTTGGGGCATAAACTGGTCCCCCGTGCCCGTACACCGAGTTCATGCCGTAAATGCTGTTGTAGATGGCCGGATTCACGCTGGAGAAGTGCACTCCTTGCAGCTGCAACTTCAGCGCAATACGCGAGACAATCAGATTATCTACGGTGCGTATGTACTGGGTCTCAACGTTGGTAATCTGTTGTAAATAAATCGAGAAAAACATATGGTTTAGCCTTAAGGGGGGATATACATGTAAACCAAAATTTTTTGGGCAAATTTTTTTTTTTGTTTAAAAAATAGTTTATTACTTAAAGAATATACTGTGTAAGTTTCAATATCGAATTCCAACTTTAAGTGCCTCAAATCAAGTATGCACGCAAGGTATACAAGTGTTAACATGGGCGCATAAAAAACTTAATACGTCTTTTTCTCAGCTTCTAATTTTTGCATTTCTACCTATGCTATGGACACGATTCACAAAAAACTACGTAACATATCGGAGTGAGTCAAATTTTATTATGATCAGCATGAAATTATCTTCTATTTGAACCTACATGGTTGTTATAAAACTGAGTATTACTATTTTTTAAGAGGGTGGGAAGTGAAAACTGATTACCTGAAAATGACATTTTTTCCTTTAAATCAAAATTTAATTTTTTTTGTCTTGATTTCTTTTAGGTTTTTTAGGTTCAAATAGAAGATATAGGTGTAATGAATACAAAAAAATTTAGTTTACGGATTTTGGACAGGAATTACGAGCTCTATCGTGTCCATAGCACGGCAACTCAAAGCTCGAGGCGCTATGGCTTATGTTCCATAAATCCGCCATTTTGTAAAATATTGTTTATAACTAATTTTTTTTATCATCTCTGATTCTACTTTTAACTATATCTAAAGTTTTATGACGATTGCTTGACTATTTCCTATAAAAAAAAATTCACAAAAAATTTTGGCCGCTTACATGTATATCCCCCCTTAAGAAAAATATTTATTTCCATAGAAGTAAATGTCCTGTAATATAAATTTATTCCTAAAAGTCTGAGGAATTTTAAGGTGTTCCATTTACGTATAATTTATGTTACCCAAAACGACACAGCCTTACATAGAACCATGTTCTTAAATAATTCTTTTAAAATAACAAAGAAAGATACGACCTATTTTATGATATATGCAAGACATCAGAAACCCCCAAAACTTTAGGACTCACACAGAAAAATAAAACTATATAATCCGAAAAGGAATATCATAAATTGGTAAAAATACAGCATCTTAAATAATATTAAGCAGTAATTTGTGCATTTCCTAGCTCAAATGTAATTATTTTCATTTAATTCCTTTTAATTTGTGTATTTTTTATTACATTTTTTCTCAGTGTATCTGAAAACAAACAAGGGGATTATAATTTTAGACTGCGCCTGTTTATTTTACGCTTGCAAATGCATTTGCATATTTTAAGGCGCTCGAGGGGCTCGGCAGTTGTGGGCAAGGCGGGGGGCAAAAGGGAGTGCTGTTCTACAGGAAGGCTTCAACATTTGGCAACGTTTAGCCCTCACGCTCGTAATACTTTTGTTTGTACTTCTCCTTTTGGCCGTTTGAACGGACCGAGCAGAAGGAAAAAACTTTTGCCAGCCAGCATCTTGTCGCCATTTGCAAGTTGGCACAGTTTGCCAAAGAGCAGGAGGTGAGCAGGGGGCGGGGCAGCAATGGAGTGGCCAACGGGGGCGGAGCACGGCCGGATGTCGGGGGATTTGCCACATGTGCTGGGAGACACTTCTGTATGCATGGAAATTATGTATCAAGGAACTTTATCTGTGTTAATGCAATGCAGCAAAAAGCAGCGGCGTCTGAGCACAACACAAACACAAGGAACAAGTAAAAAATCTTAGTAAAATTATACGACGAAAAATATACCCTAGGAACACATAATATACATTTAACAAGAACAAATTTTATAGCGTTAAGCCAAAGATTATATTTTAAAATAAATTCAGATAATTTTTGTATAAGAATAATCAGGATTTTTACTTAAATTTGTAAAAGCCCGAAGGAACAAAAACTACTAAGATTTTTCAATAAATCCCCATAGCTATTCCTTCCTATCTATCCTTAATGCCTTCAAAAAGTATATACCCTTGCCTGCCCCAAGTACCTAGTAATAAAAAAAAAGGCAACCAGGAAGCCCCACACAATTGCACACATTAGTGGCTGCGGCGTCGGGGAGAAGGACATGCAAGGACATTGGACAGTGGATAGACAGAGTACTGGACATGGCCAGCACCGGGTTGCTAAAAAAAAAAAAACGAAGAGGGCCAAGACTGCGACGCATTTGACGAAAGTTTTAGCCAGTTCTCTGCAGGCTTTTGCCAGCTTTTCAAAGCATTTTCGAGCTCTGTTTCTTATGCACCATTTCTGCTTCTGTATTGGTCCACATCCGCATCTGTATCTATATCCCGATCCCGGTCCACGACCATGTCCAAGTCCTCGCTGCGTAAGTCCACTTTATTTGCGCCAGCTCCAAGATGCTTAAACTTGCATTTGGCTTAAATGCTGCCAGCAGCTCCTTCATGCGAGAACAGCTTTTATGCTTAATGGCAGTTATTTAGTGCAATTCACTGTAAAATTGTTGCCATAGGAGAATCTGCCAGTCGCCATCTCCGAGTCTCTTTCTCCTTTCCCTGAGTCCGTGTGTGTGCGAGTGTATTTGTGTGTATGCGAAAGGATTTGCGCTTTGATAAATAATTTTTCCCCATACGCATGTGCATGTGCCAAAAAGCAGATGTTTAAGCAGCAAAGTTCTCCCTCCATTTCCGTATTTTTCTTGCCAGTTTTTCTTTATTTTTCTGGGCCTTGTGCAAACATGGGGAATTATATACATACATACGTATATGTTTTTGATAGTTGCCACTGTCCTTGGACTCCACGAAAAGTCTCTGAAGAATTCAGGCCTCGAACTTATGTGTGAATTTCTGCCAAGGCTGCATCTCGTGTTGCAGCTCAGCTTGGAGTTTTTCGAAAAATTTCTAGCTAATGGAAAGCGGGACCGAAATAAGCCGGAAATAAAACTACTTTATGGAAGCCTAGGATCGTCCGGGTTTCTCTACCGAAACTCATGCAAGTAATCCCCTCCTTGCAATATTTTATTTATTGCTGAGATATGAGACCATTTCCACATTTTGCGGTTCTTTTCTTGGCCAAATTTAAAAGAGTTTTAATAGCTTTTGAATCAGAAAAAACAGTTTGGGTTTTTTGGTTTATATATAGTATAATTTCAGACCGAAATAATACTACGTTATCACCTTGGCGAAGTGGTAAAAGTTTACAAGAAATGTAAACTTACCTACTTGTCTGTATAATCAATCATATTTTATTAAAATTCTTTCGATTATTTACAAGTTCTTGTAGTGATAAATACCTTAATATGTATAATATTTTTACCCTAACTTAATAAGAAATAAAATTTGGGTTTCTACCAATTTCATTTTTCAGTGACACTTTGACTGCAGGCATAAATTTCCCAACGCTGGCGACAACTCCTTTTCTTGTTCCCCTTAGACTTGGGGAAAAATACAATAAATATATTTTATATTTCATCCAATACAGAGACCCGAAGTGCACAATTTGTCGTACGTGTGCACAATGCATTGCAAGCGTATCAATAACAAATAAATTGTGGATAGCACTGCAATATCTTTTGGGCCGTTACTGCGAATGGTAACTGGTAGCTGTGAGCTGTGAGCTGTGAGCTGCTAGCTGGTAACTGGTAACTGGCTTACTGCTGCCAAGAATGCTTGTAGGTATACAGAAAACTATGGCACAAAGGGCTGCCAACTGCTATGGCTGCGAAGCTTTTTTCAATTTTCCGCTAAATTTGGCAGGGCTCAAGTGCTATTTGTCTTCATTAATGCGAATGCGCCTAGAAGTTTGGCAAGAGCACCCCTGGATGAATTCCTTTGGCCGGGCGACCGTTCGGTCGTTCGTCGGTTCGTTCAACCCCGATGATGGCAAATTCTGCGTAGCATTTTTAAGCCGACGCCAAATGACATGCAGCAGTTATTAATTGGCAATTTACATGCCGAATGATTAATGCCCGGGTCCCAGGGCGACGGAAGCAGCCAGGAACCCGAAATGGAGCCACAGCAGCAGTCTCAAACCGAAGGCACATATGTCACCAAGGAGCCGGAAGTTGGACCACAGCTCAGGTCAAAAAGGTAGTGATGGTAGTAACATTTCAACAAATTTTCCTATTTTCTTGACTTAAATGTAAACCATATTTACACTTTTATGGATATTTTTCGATTACCAAAATCGTATTTAATATTTCTGTAAATATTACATTCTTTTTTCTAAGCCTAATATTTTGACCGCTGCTGTTCGTGTGGATAAGGACGATTTTTCGGGGGTTGCAAGTGTGGGACCGAGTCCGGACCTCTTGCAAATTACTCCTGTGGCATTTCACCGCAAAAACTTTTGTCAACAGAAAGTTGTGGCTCCTTGCCGGCGCACCTTTTAACGTAAACTTTGCTGGAAATGTCGGAGGTGCCTGGTTGTGTGCGTGGGTGGATGGGTGTCGGTGTGTGTCCTGGGGGTATGCAAGTGTGCTTCCCACCCCTTGTCGATTTGCACAGCATGAAATATTCATTTGTTTCCTGTGATCGGCAATTGTAATATATCTTCCTCCTGCGGTATCGTTTTCTACTCAATTTTAGTCAATGTCTGCCACTTTTGCTTACTGTTTGTTGTCTGGCTGCCATTGGTTGCCATTGCCAAAAGTTCTCGATGTCCTTGCAGCTCCTTTGGGCCACCATTAGCCCCCTGGCGCCGAAGCCTGAAGTCAGGAGACGGGATCTTCGGCACCCTAAAACTCACACCGCACAGCATTGGTGGCATTTCGAGAGGCATTGGCGATAAGCTATCATTTCATTTCCAGGCAACACAACCCGTTTGAATATTCGCCTCGAAAACTCCCCTCTTCGTTCCGGCTGCGAGTTATTGCGGTGCAAATGATTTGAATTCATTTATCATGTTTAATGCGAGCTTGGCAAGTGCGCTTCTGGAATGTGGCAGCCATTTTTCAATGGCCCTGACAACGCTCTCAAACTTTTGCCTTTAAAAGCTTACTAGAGAGCACATCCTTTAATACGATTTGGCTAACGAAATCGTCATCTGAGATTTAGCATTATTTGTTATTGGAATACTTGAAAAATGTTGTGTATTTCAAGCGAAAGAGTTTACTAAGAAAACTTTAAATATTAAGAAATATCCCTAAGAGCGACTATACAGCAGTGCAGCCTCAAACCAAGTAATTCTTCATAGAAAACTTCACTAATTCTCGACCTTTGAATGCGTGTATTTTGATATGAGCTTTATTTCGGAACAAAACCTTTCCCCGTTGATAACAATGTGAATTCAGATCTGATGCAGGCCACATACACATTCGAAAATCTTGGTTGGGCTCCCGCATAATATCTTCCCAACCGCAAACCAATTCGAGTCTTTTGTGTTGGAAAATTTTGCATTCCTCTTACACTGAATTCCTAGCCCGTACCGCTCTGCCTGGCAGCATCCTTGGCATGGAAAGCAGCTTGAAAATCAGATGGGAACTTAATGCGGTTGCCGCCGAATACCGAATGCCGAATGCTGAATGCTGAGTGGGAAAAACTTGTGCAACCTGTTAGGCACGTGAATGCTGGATGCTGGATGCAGGTTGAAAGGTCTCCTTCTTCCTTTTGCAAGTGTCCCTGGGGCAGACACGAACCCTTTTCAACCGCAAATAGGGCGGAAAAGAGGAGCCTTGCCTCGCCTTGACCGCTTCTGAACCTGAACTGCTCTTGACATCGGGGCCTGGGTCAAAATTATAAGCAGGGGAGAGACTCTTAGAGACTCAGTGAAGACGAGTGAGCATGTGGCATGCATATTCATAAAATTGCAATGAACAAAAAAATTTGCTCACAGGACAACAATGTCAGCTTGACGACAGTAACCAGAAGTGAGAATCCACATGGACTGGCAGCCAGAGAGTTGACAATCTTCAGTGTTGGGATCTGACCTTTTTTTGTAGACTTTTAAGGTTAAAAAATAAATTAAACTAATGAAAATTATGATGAAAAAATATGTGAGAATATTTTAAATGTAATTTTTGTTTTATTTGTTTTGACTAAATTTTCAGATATTTTTTAGATTTGACATTTTGGCAGCACTGTCACTCTCTGGATAAAAGGATTTGACTGGTGAAATCTGAATTCCAGAGTAACTAAATGACAAAGCATTCCGGCCACAGATGCGGCGGACCCTCATCCCTCTTTTGACCTATGTCCTCACACCCCTTTCCCTATTTGTTCGCCTCATATGCATTGTTAATACACATGACAATCCGCACGCTCGCTGGCAGGCTGTGAAATTGCGCATACGCCACGTTGACGGATGGACGAGCCCCCGAGGCGCAATGGTGGCGAATTACGAAAAAAATATATAAGAAACGAGAAGCAGAAACAAAAAAGAATGGAGAAAACGAAGCCAGAACCCTTTTGATTAAAGTCTTGTCCCAGCCCATTTTCGTGTTCATTTCTCAGCAGAATAGACAAGCACTTCAAAGGATCTGGTTGGACTTTGAACACACAAAATAGCCGCTGACCCGCTGTCAGATTTGTTTTCCAGTCGCCTCGAAAACATAAAATAAATTGAAACGGACCGTCGTCGTCCGGCACGGCAGGTTGGTAATATTTCATTGGAATGATTGTGGAGTTGAAAACAGAAGTTTATATATGTGCTACTCACCACCATGTTGTTGATTGTGAACGTTAGCTCGGATCGCGGCCGCGATGGCGGAGTGCTGCAGTTGGCTCGCAGGACATCGCCGGGCTCGTAGCGCGTGTGCTCTGTCAGCAGCACAGGACGCTTGTCAGGCAGCTCTGCAAAAAACAGAAAAACAATTTATATGTCAAGGATATAGCAACATTATTTTATAGTCAGAATAATAAAAAAGGCTTTGGGTATTCTTTCTTTGGAAAATGGTAAGAGGTTTAGCCCGGGACAATTCAATTAGCAGGACCTCCTGACACAAGACACATTAATAGGCGCATAAGTGGAGGCGGAAACCCGGAGAACCCTTCAATCACAACCGCAGGACGAAGATCCTGCTCGCTCTCGCCACGCTTAACTTTTTAATTAAGTCAACCAAGGCGGAGCCGGAGCCATAGCCGTAGCCGATGCCGGCCGCAACAACAGCCAGAGCCACTACTATGTGAACAGGACCCAGCGAGAGCAACAAAGTAACTAATGAAGAAAGTAATTTCCATGACAAAGGCGGCGGCAACTTTGCTCTTTTTCCCGAGTCGCCTGAGGCGGCTTTCTGTGTCCTGGCCGCTTTCTAATCCCCCAATCCCCGGACCCAGACCTCAGACCCCGAACCCCCGTCGCCTGCGCTTTTTGCCTTGCAGATTTTGACCTTTTTGCGGGGCCAGCTTCGAATGCTTCTTGGCCGGCTTTGCCATTCCTTTGCCGTTTTGGCCTGGAGTCTCTGCAGCCGTCCAATTCCCCCTAATGAGGGTCAGTCTCCAAGAGTACACTGGACTAAATACCCGAAAAATTGGTAAGAATTAAATACAAAATTTCTTTCCTATAAAAAATCTTGTAAACTTCAATTTTTGTTTAGGGGAATTTATCGAAAATGCTTCTGTTTTTCGAATTTATAATATGAATATGAATTTTTAACCACTGTAAACCAGCGAATGTTGGGCTTAATTTAGCAGCTGACCAGCCTACTTTGCACTTGGTTTCAGCTTCGACTCGTGTCATTAAGTTATTAAACTTAAGGCTGCCCAAAATGTTTGCCAACTATAAACTTTTGACTCGTACCAGCCGACGATGATGGGCAACGGGGGCGGCGGCGGGGCTGTGACTTAATGAAAGCCCGAATTAGCATAACTTTTGGGGGCCAGAACCAGCAGCCTTTGCTTGCCATCCCACCCACCCGCCGCCACTGCCATCCGTAATAACCTTGCCACCGTCTGAGCGCCTTGAATGGCCCGCCCCGCAAGGACAAAGTGTTTATTTTATGTGCCACGCAGACGCCGAGACGCTGGCAGCCTCCTTTCAGCGGGCTCCTTTCAGGATCCTTGGGCCGCAATCTGATTGCCACTTGAGCTCATTAACACACGATTAAACCTCAGAGTTATTTACACCGAGGACGCGGCGGCTGCATAAGCGAATGAGTGCGCACAACTAACACTGACTGACTGACTCGATGCATAAAACATCAGGCTGCGAAAAACTATGCGGCGAATCGATGAAATTAAAGCGGAAGTTTAAGCAGATGAGATGGGTTGCGAAGAGTTTTTCAGGTGCTTCTCAAAGATGTAGGAAAAACACATGGGCAATAAATAAAAGTAGGAGATATAGAAATGAAAGTTTCAGGCTATATAAGCTTTAATTTGCTTTAAAACAAAATATTATTAATAAAAAAATTATTATTAAGCAAATTAAATTCAATTAAAGACTTTCTATGGGTTTTTTCACAGCCCTATAGCTTATTATTTGCATGGATACAGAGAAAATTGACATCCCAATATGACACTAATTTTAGTATATTTTTCCTGTGTGCCAAAATACAATATGGTGTCGGTTACGGCTTCTGCCAGCTGGTGGTAGCAGTAATTTATTGTTTAGCCGGCAAGTTATTGGGGTTTTAGTGTCGACGACATTAGGCCTAAGCCCGGGGACCCACGCCCAACGACGAAACCGAGCCGGCAAGCCGCAGGATACAGGGCGCGGCGAGTAACCGACAAAGCCCGAGATTTGAGGCGCCTGTCAGTGTGTCAGTTCCCAACTGGCTTATCCGAAACAGCATTGATGTATGTCCCAAGGACCAAGGACCAAGGACCGAGGACCGAGGACCGAGCCAAGGTACCCAAGGCCGAGACCCGGAGAGCAACCAATTAAGTGCCGCAGCTATTAATGAAACTTTAATAAGTCGAGCGGCGCGTCCTTGACTGCCTGGCCTGTCCCGGCCTCATGAATTTAAAGCAAATACGCGATCAAAGGCTTTAATCCCCAGATGCTAGTTACGCAGAAGCGGCCAATTAAATGGGCTAAATGCGGCGTTAAATATAAAGCAGTCAACTGGCGGGGGGTGGCAAGGCGGAGGCGAGAATGATGCCAATCTAATAAAGGGCTACACAGAAAACAAGAGGGTCCTAAGTCTCGAATTGATTTTCCGTTCGGTAAGTATTTCGTTGCAAATAACATTTAGATCGATCCAACTTTGTTTATCTCTGTGTAGGCCAGAACGGCAGACATCTGAATGTTTAATGCTGGGCAACAAGCAGCCAGTGAGCCAGTGAGCCAGTGAGCCAGTGAGCCATTAACCCAGACGAGCTCTCAATCAAACACACGCACACACAGCGGGCTTTCCCGCCAGCCGAAGGGATTGCAGATGGAGAGCGGTGGAAATCGCGGGAAATGGATAAATCCTGCCCAGCAAGTGGCATAAAAATCAGCGACTAAAGCAGAATTTAGCTGTCGGAGCGCACTTCTCGAATGCCTGAGGCCGAGCGGATAGAAAGATTAACTTCGACAAACGCTGAACCAGCGCCATCGATTCAGGCCGCATTACGCATACGCCCCATATGCTGCACTCCTCAAGGCTAGGCAATTGTTAGGCCCAGACTGCACTCACAGGCTTAAACTAAAGTCTAGAATTAATTTCTTGTCAGTTTTTATCGACTAATTTTCCGTTTGTTAAACTTTTAAAGAGATCCCTTCTCTTCTGCCTGCTGAACTTGAGCCCAATAATTGCTAAGCCGTAACGGACTGGTGCTCATTGGATTTCATGACCCTGCCGCACTGATTAAATTCGTAATTCAAAGCGCGCCGCACCACGCTCATTTAAAACGCATAAAGCCGTGAAATGCGTGGGGCACAGGTAAGACTACCAAATAACCCCAGACAGGGGATGGGCCCAGACCTGGAGCCACTCTAAGCCAACCCCCTTGGTGCGGCAGCCCGCTTATCTGGCCAGAAGACGAAATGGCCTGTTAATGACGCAATTTTCAGCGCAAAACTTTGGCAACCAGCAGAAACAGCTGCTGTGACCTTGGCCAGGCCAAAAACAAATTGCCAAAGAAGCGAAAAACTTTCCCTGCTCCCACAGTCAGAGAATTTAGCCACGGAACGCTGCCCGGCGATCAAAGGAGAGTAATGTCAAAGGCTGCCCGATAGCTGATACACTCCCTCACTCTTTCAGTCGGGTTCCCTGGAAGCTTTTAAGCGCACTTTAGGCCAATTTGGATGAATCAGCTTAGGAGGTGGACACAAAACTCAGCATCGGGGACATAGGACTCAGACAGAGACTTACCAACAACTTGCATGGTGTCCACGGCGGTGGCGGTCGAGAAGAGCGGGGCATCGGCGGTCACTTCGCATGAAAAGTTGCCAGAGAGACCGAATCCAACGTTGCGTAAGAGGACCTGGGTGGCATTCGAGCTGGATACCTGTTGAGCAGAAGAACATATACTGTACTTAACAAAGTCAATGGAGGCACCCACATTTCGATGGTATTTTACTTGTATTTCCCGAAAACAATAATGTTATGCTGCTGCACTGACAAAAACAACTATAAATCGAGCCCCCACACCTGCCATCGCTCAGCTGTCCGCAATCTGACATCGAGTCCAACAAAGAAATGCACTTAAATTTATTAAAACAGCTTAAAAACAAACAAATACAAGCACAGCCAGCAGCCAACAGAGCAGAGCAGAGCGACAAGGAAAAACTGCCTTCAGCTAGGTAAAGTAAAAGTTTTCCACGACAAAACAAAAAATAACAAAAAAAATAAAATGAAAACAGGAGAGAGAGATGGGAGCGGAGGAGCACAAAAAAACTAAAGATAAACTCGCTGGCACAAACTCAATAGCCTGATGAAATATTTAGCCAGATTCGGAGCAACTTTATCGAAGCAACGAAATTGCAAGGACCTCTTCCTCGCCGCCTCAGCACCGCCCGCCGGCTGGGTAAACTTTTTCAATAATCTAGCCAAAGTAGAATTACCCCAGCCGAGACTCAATTCTCCAAACTCAGTCTCCACCGCCTCCCACTCTGCAGTCCTTGCTCTTCGCAGATTGCAGATTGCAGTTTTTGCAGGTGGGCGACAAAACTCAGACGCAGCAGGCAAAAATTTAAATGAAATTTTTGCCGCAGATAGCCGCGCGTTGATAGCGCCCACAAAAGCCGGCATTCCGGCTGTTCGGCTGTCCGGCACTCCGACGGCGCTGCTGGTAGTCACGCCAGGTGTCTCCTGACATTTTTTGAATAACCGCCAATAACAATAAAACTGCCAAACTGAATATGCATGAGCGGAAAGTTTAAAATATACAATATAAATAAATGCAGTGTGCGCGCAATTAAGGACATCAAAGTGAGGTTCGGTCCGGTTTCGGGTCCTTTCAGGAGCCATTCCAAAAAACTTAATTAAAAAAAAATGCTTTAACAATTTGTTCTTTTGGAAAAGTCCGAATTTCTCGCAGCTCGATTTACTTGTTTTTAATCTTTTTTATACTCTTGGGAATAAGGGTATCTTTGCTTTTTATACCCTTGCAGGGTATTATAATTTCAGTCAGAAGTTTGCAACGCAGTGAAGGAGACGTTTCCGACCCTATAAAGTATATATATTCTTGATCAGCATCAACAGCCGAGTCGATCTAGCCATGTCCGTCTGTCCGTCTGTCCGTCCGTCTGTCCGTCTGTCCGTCTGTCCGTCCGTCTGTCCGTTTCTACGCAAACTAGTCCCTCAGTTTTAAAGCTATCTGAATGAAACTTTGCATATAGTCTTCTATATACTCTCACTGCTATATATGTCGGAACGGGCCGGATCGGACGACTATATCATATAGCTGCCATACAAATGTTCAATAAATTTTTAGAAAAATAATTTTAACTTGGCTGTTTTTCAATATTATTCCATCATTTTTGAGATATAGCCGTTTTATATTATTCCAGAATTTTGGTAAAAATTTTATGAAAATCGGACCACTATATCTTATAGCTGCCATAGGAACGATCGGGAAATTAATCAAAAAAATCATAACTTCGTTGTTTTTCAACGTATTTTAATCTACTTTGACACATGAGCTTCTGGTATTATTTCAAAATTTTGGTAAAAATTTTATGACAATCGGACGACTATATCTTATAGCTGCCATAGGAACGATAGGGAAAGTAATAGAAAAAATTATAACTTCGTTGTTTTTCAATGTATTTTCATCTACTCTGAGATATGAGCTTTACTTATTATTATAGAATTTTGGTATACATTTTATGAAAGTCGGACAACTATATCATATAGCAGCCATAGAAGCGATCAGATGTAGAGAAAATGTAAAGCTGGGAATGTATAACTGTAACTGTCAAACTGCAAACATAATAAGTATAGGTAAAATGGTATATAACTCAGTTTAGTGTCTGTTTTCGGCATTATAATTTATGACATAAATATGAAAACCAATCTGCAAGGGTATACAAACTTCGGCGTGCCGAAGTTAGCTTTCTTTCTTGTTAAACATAATATAGTTTAATATAAAACAAGAAAGGAAGCTAACTTCGGCACGCCGAAGTTTGTATACCCTTGCAGATATTATTTCATTACATTTTACCTATACTTATTATGTTTACAGTTTGACAGTTACAGTTTTGCATTCCCAGCTTTACATTTTGTATACATCTACCGATCGGTTCATATGGCAGCCGTATGATATAGTTGTCCGATTTTTATGAAATTTATACCAAAATTCTAGAACAATAAAAAAAGCCTATATCTCAGAGTAGATACAAATACGTTGAAAAACAACGAAGCTATAATTTTTTTCCTATTAATTTCCCGATCGTTCCTATGGCAGCTATATCATATAGTCGTCCGATTTTCATAAAATTTTTACCAAAATTTAGAAATAATATAAAATGGCCATATCTAAAAAATGGTGCAAAAATATTGAAAAACAGCAAAGTTATAATTTTTTTTCTAAAAATTTATCGGACATTTGTATGGCAGCTATATGATATAGTCGTCCGATCCGGCCCGTTCCGACATATATAGCAGTGAGAGTATATAGAAGACTATATGCAAAGTTTCATTCAGATAGCTTTTAAACTGAGGGACTAGTTTGCGTAGAAACGGACAGGTGGACAGACGGACAGACGGACAGACGGACAGACGGACAGACGGACATGGCTAGATCGACTCGGCTGTTGATGCTGATCAAGAATACTTTATAGGGTCGGAAACGTCTCCTTCACTGCGTTGCAAACTTCTGACTGAAATTATAATACCCTGCAAGGGTATAAAAATATAGACCCAAATAAAAATTATGATTTCAATTGGATTAAAAGGGCGTGTATATATTTTTTTAAAGTATTGGAATTATTCCATTGAAACTCTCTCTTATTTAAATTCTTAGCAGACATTAATTGTTAATACTACAACAAATTCCAAGTTATATTCAATTCCATTTAAATTTTCTAGATATTTAAGACCTTAAACAGAGAGATAGTAAATATTTCCATCATTTTATTGTGGGTTTTTAATTTGGTTTGAAATATTCTAAGAACTTTAATCGTTCTAAATTAGTTAGTGAAAATACATATATAATTAAATATCCCATATACCTTTCTCTAAGTTATATTGTTAGGCTGTAAACTTATAACATTTCATTAATTATTATATACTTACGTCCACATGAATGCCGGGAAAGGGAAAGACCTTCGTGTTGGGAAACTCGCCGGGCGTGTAGCGATAGAACTCGAGCTGGCCCCGATAGAACTTGGCCGAGTATAGTGGTGCCCCCTCCAGGTCGTACATGCACCGCAGCACCACGTGCTGACCCCGTCGCACCGCCGGTGGCTCGATGATTAAATTGACATTGCGCAGCGCGCACTCGACGAGTTCTGGAAAACGGCGGAGAGAGAAAAATGGGGGAAAATCGGTGATGGAATTAAAAGCGAATGCAAAGCCGGGGGATTCCAATTTAGTGTATTTGTTTTAATAAATTATTGAAATATTGTCCGAGAGCAGGCTCAGCGGCGGCGACACTGATAACATATAATCCACCGCTTAACTGCACCGCAATTGCTTGCTTTCGAGCGCTTCAGTTTGTTTTTGTCATCGGTTTGGGTTTCAAATGCTTAAAACGCCATGCAAATATGCTGAAAACGCAATTTAGCTGGTCATGTTTTTTTAGAGATACCCTCCATCTTGGGTATCTACGACTGCCTTCTTTTGCTCCTTAAATATATTATTGTGTACCCTAAATGTGACTTAAAAATTGAACAAGATTGCTTTTTTATAAGACGAATATTTAATGACCGTAATAACAAACTAAATTTTGTATTTAATGGGTTTCTTTTATGTTCCTACTAATAGTTTTATATCGATTTCAACTGTATTATAGCCCATAATAATAATAAACTTTATAGTAAGTACTAAAATATATATTTGAAATAATTATATCAGTCATAAAGTTACCTCTTAAGGGTAATAAAAATGTCGCTGTTTTATAAAATCTTTAGGTACCGGGTTTTTGTTCATGTTTCTGTTCGAATGATTGTCATATTTGGTGCTTAAATGATTTATAAATGTTTTTTCAACCATCGGAAAGCTTGATAGATTACGGTGGGATTTTGTAGGGGCAGTTATGCAAACGAATGGCGCTGCATGGAAAATATTATGATAAAAACTGCTGGTTGCCTGTAAGCCCAAAGCCCAAATAAACACCATTCATAACTGAATTTCGCTGGTAAGCCAGTGATGATTTAGGCCAAAACTAAAACTACGACGCTTTCAGTGCTGCTTTTATATTTAGCCAAAACGGTGGTCAGGATTTATAGATTCTGGGTCGCAAACTCAGCCCGACCTTCACTTACTTAGGCAATCTCCCTGTTTGCTCGCCAAGTTTTATTAATTACCAAACAATCAACGCCAATTTCCGGCAACTTTATGACCGCCCATTTCAGAGTCGTTTGTCAACAAATGCGTAGCATAATTCAAGGCGCCAGCCCGGTAACTGCCTCTCGCTCACACACACCCGCCCGGAGCTTAGCCCTGACCCTCCTCTCCCACCGGAGTTCTGGTGTTTTACAAGCCAACATAGCCTAACAAGGCACTCAAAAATTTTTTATATCTTATTTGGGTCACATTTCATGCGGCTGTGCCCTTAAGAATAATGGCACATAATTTGCGGCTTTCCCAGCGCAGCGCAGCGTCCCTTTTGTGCCCGGCCAAGGGATCTGTGTGGAATGTGAGGCAGGGCAAGGATTCGGTTCCTTGCAAATCTCTCGCGAGGCGAATAAAATAAAATTGTTTTCATTTTTTTCGCTCGCTCTCCCTACATGCCAGCTGTGCGTAATTCATTACCTTCGGGAGTTGTTTGCATATCAGGCGATATCTTCGGCGGCGACTGCTTACTCCCTGAAAAATGCCATGGAAAATTGGCATGATTTTCATTATGCCAATGCTGCTGCTGCTGTTGAGTTGCCCTTTAACATTTACTCCATTTGCAGGCTGTCAAATGAATTCCTGCACATTGACCTTAATGACCAGCGGGGCCTGCCAGCATAATTGGCCAACTGCCTGTGTGTCCTGGCCAGGGACAACGAGCAAACAAGAAATTACAAAAAAAATATGCAAGACTTTTTAGATAAGACTGAGAGATACCTTTTAGAGACCTTAAATACTTAAAAGATAAAGCTTTTAACTGTTAAAATATAAGGATATTTCAGTTTTATTTATTTTACCAAGTTTCTAATGTAATTAATAGTTTTCCTAGACCAAACATAGTTGCATTCATGCTCAATATGCCCACAATTTCCCCAAATATACCTGCTATGAATACACCTGGCTGGCAGGGCACAACTTAACTTAAGCAGTGCCTTAAAGTCCTTGCTAGCCGCATAAATATTTGCACACTGAAATCGAAAATTCCGCTTGTTTGCCAATTGAAAATTGGAAAGTGTAGTTGCCGGGGCCCGCCCGCTGAGAGTTTTCCGAGCAGCAGCAGCAGGAGCTGGAGCAGCGAAATGCAACCGCAAATACTTGCTTATTGCTGGGAAAACTTTGCTTGTTAGTGTTTAGGTGGAAAGTGCAGCAGTAAGAAATCATAGCACACAATCGGGTGCACAACTTTCCCAGGAAAAGCAACAAAGAGCAGCCAAACAATGTCTATAAATCCACACACACCCCTCACTGCCACTAGGACTGGCACTCGCACTGGCATATAGTTGGAAAGGTAAAAAGTTTGCGCAAAAGTCACATATTTGTTCGATTTTGCTAAGTGCCAGCTTACAAGTGCCTTGTCCTTATCCTTTTGCGATTTGTTTACATGGCAGCCACCAAAGCGAAAACCCAGAAATAGGACCCACCTGGCCCTCTTCATTTCATGCTGTTGTTGTTAGTTCTTTTTTTTTTGTCAGGATTTCTCCAGGATCTGGGGGGGGGAGATTTACCTGACTGCCTGCCTCTGCCTCTGCCTGCCTGCTAAATATCAATGCAGCCGGCCCTTGTTTGTTTCCATTTTCTTTGTCGTGCTCCCTGGACTCCCTGGGAAATGCCCTGCCATCTGCCGGGAGAGTAAACACTTTTCACGCTCTTTTCACCGCATTTTCCCCGCAGCATCCTGTTTTTCTTTTTTTCATCTTTTTGGTTTATTGTTTTCCAATCTGGCATCCGACCAGAGTGCGTCATTGGTTGGGATTGGTTGACTGGTGAGTCTCAGGTGCGATGAAACCGCAAGTGATGCCTAAATTGAGAAGTTAGATGCTACTTTTGACGCCTGTTCCCTGGGGCTTTGACATTTTTTATAGTTTCTTACAGAATACTTTAAGAAATTATTCTATTAAATAACAAAAGGAAATTAAAAGAAGAATCCAAAGTGGATCTAAAATACAAACGGATCTAAATACAATGGAATAGAAACAACTTGCTTAGAAAATCCTATTAGGGTCTTCTTTTAAGAAGAAACATTTATTCTGCTACTATTTAATGAAAGTATATACACAGAATCCTTGAAAATATATGCCAAATTTATTTTAGTTTAGTTTTTCGATAGTTTTAGTTTGCAACTGATTGATTGCCCTAAACTGTGTTCAATGGGTTGGGGGGGGAGTTTAAAAATTCCAGCCTAAATGCTGCGTTCTCATGCGAATTCCTGAGTGCCGAATCCTGAATTCTGAACTCTGAATCCCGTAAACGTGAATGCCGTGCAAGGCAAACAAGCTGCCAAACAGAAGCGGCCCAATATGAATATCGCAGCATTATAATTTGCAGAGTCGCTTTCCATATAATGGGAGGAGTGAAGGGGGCCCGGAGCGTGCTTAAACAAACATCAGGCAGCTGGAATGTAATATCTATGTGCATTGAAGCGTACGTGTAGCATTGTCTCGGTATTTAATAGGCTTTTGTTGCAGCTTCCATTGAAAATGGAAATTGTTGAGTCCCGCTGTAGCTCCCTGGCATGTTTACCAGGCTATTCTATTCCTACGCTCCTGATTCTGTTTCTGTTTCGGTTTCCTATCAACATCCTCAGTGCCCAGCTGGCTGGCTGGCTGGCAGCTCATTGAAAGATTTATCATACGGCAGAAACAGCAGGTCTTTGAAAATGAGACGATGACTTGAGCAGGGAAGTCGACCACTTGGCAAAAATATAATTTGTATAATTTCCAAATTCAAATACCATAACCGTATTACGAGAAAAGGAACCTATTCCAATCTCAAACTAAGACATATTTTCATTCCATTTTCCTCATTAATTTTGTTTAAACAATTGTATCTACATTTAAATATATTTTCAACTCTAAATGCTTCTGAAATTATGTTAATCTTCTTAATTTTTAATTATTGTTGCCAGTGTAATGCTGATGACGAGCCACCTGTCTGGAGTCCTGAATCCCAACCGACCATGTTGACACAGCCCACATAGGCGTCCCATACACATGCATAATGGAATTTCTAATAACTGCCACAGCTCCTCCTCGGATTGGATCGAGAGCCGGGACAGGAAACGGTAGCAGAACAGGACGAGGACCAAGCCAAGCCAAGCCTTCCTGCTGGGTCAACAGCATTTAGTGACAATAAGCGTGCTGCAGTTCATTTGCCCAGTCCCAGAGTTCAAAGAGCGGTGGGTCGGTTGGTTCGTGTTTCGGTTTGCTTTTGGCCAGGAATCGGGATTGGATCGCCTGCTGAAGGGGTGGCCAAGTGCACTTTGTCAGGCATCGGCCAACATGCACTTCAGCAGGCATCCAACCCCGTCGAGGCTCATCCCGAGAGCCGCAGCAATTTAATTAACATAAAAAACACAACTCGCACAATTCGAGACCATAAATCAAAAGCCCGCACACGCCCAACACTAAACTAATACCACTGAAAAACCTAATGCCGGACACAAAAAGCACAACTGGAAAAATGTGTGTCTGGCAAAAAGTGCATTCGGCGAAGAAAAAGGGTAACCACTGTCAGAAAATTATATATTGATATATGGATTTAAAAATGATAACTTTTTTGTAATAATTATTTTTTTCTTTCTCCTGGTTTAATTAAAGTTTTTCAAAAATTAAAAAAAAATTTGGCAAAGTCAATGTCCAGGCTCGGCTCTATTGTAGCTTTCCTACATTTTTCATTTTTCTTTCAAATTTTCTTTAAATCATAAATGTTATCACAGCTCACCTAAGGTTTTGTCAGTGTGCAAAGAAGTAAAAACGCTTCGAATAAAAATGAAAATGCTAGTTATGGTCTACGGATTCCGGCTCTTACAGAAGTTCTCAAAGTAGAGTTGCCTGTATAGAGTAGCATTTGTTTTTCCGCCACGGTGCTTAGCTCAGCCTTTGTCACAGTTACGGGCTCGGGACCCCCGGGGCAGCAGCAGCGGGCAGGGGCCCAACCCAAACCGCAATTCGGA